GTGATAGGTCTTGGAACACAGTCACCTGATGGCCATCGACCGATAGTTCTTTATTTTGGCGGGCTTTACGGAAGATCTCCTCTTTCATAGGAAAGTTATGTATTCTGTATATAATGTCTCATGACCTGCCTGGGGGTAGATTTCTGGGCCTTGCTGCTCTGTGGGCTCTGTCAAACTGGATGGCCATTTCTGGGGGTCTGGCAAGAATATGGTTGAAGAGGGTAGTTAAGACCTGTATGGGGTTCTCTGTGGTGCCGTCCGGTCCCTCAGGTATACCTCTTACCCTCAGGTTATTTTGTCACCTCCGATTGTCAACATCTTCCAGCCTCCTTTGCAGGTATCTGATGGCTTCAGAGTGTATCTCTTGTGTAGTGTGGCATTCAACCCACTGCCTGTCGGCAGTTTCTGTCTCTTCCTCCAGGGCCTGCACTCTATCGCCTAGGTGCTGTACATCTGCACTCACTCCCTGGAGTTTTTCGCTAAAACTGTCCTCTAGCCTTTGAAACATGGCTGCAAGGTCAGTCTTGGAGGGCAGTTGGGTAAGTATTGCCCTAATGTCGGATTCCTCTGCCGAGCATTCCGATGCTGATGGGCTGGACGGCTGGCTGCCTCGTGTGTTTCCCGCGGGTGCCATCTTGCCGCTTCCTTGCGGGTCTGATTGCTCAGTGAAAAATCTCCTTAAGGATGTTTTGGCAGCCGGGAAATCCATCGCTGGGGTGTTCCCCGCATTGCTGCAATTCTTTTTGGTTGCCATGTGTGCTGTTGGATACCTGGTATCCCCTATAGTTCTCGGTCAGGGACGGAGCTCGGCTTTTATGCGTCCATACACCTTGGTGTCTTGGTCACACCCCCTGATCACCAGTTCTTAATTACACAGACACTGTTCTGTTATTGCATAAAAACCTTTGCGCTCCCATTAAATGGCAGAAATCAACTTACACTGACAACCTGTGTCTGCATGTCTGATTTCCCGAAGCGCTCGATATTCTCTAATCTGGAAACCTTGAAACCTTATTTAGGTCTTTTCCCTGACAGTCAGGCCCGGACTGGCCATCGGACATACCGGGCAAATGCCCGGTGGGCCGCGGTGTCCATGGGCCGAGGCCGGCAGGGGAGATCACAGGATCTCCCCTGCCGGTCTATGCGGGGCCGGCGCTATCCGAGCGCCGGCCCCGCTGTCTTCCATGGAGGGCCGGTGGGGAGATCAAAGATCTCCCTCACCGGCCCACATGTACTCAAACGCGGCCGCCGGCGGGGAGAGAGGGGGGGGGAGCCCGCCGCCAGGAGAGAGGACCCGGCGGAGCTCTAACTTGCAGCTCCGCCGGGTTTCTCTCGCGAGATCCGGACCGTTGCTATGGCAACCGGCCGGGTCTCGCGAGAGTGAACTCTAGCTCCAAAGGGCTAGAGTTCACTAACCACGAGGACCACCAGGGATGGCTGGCAGCAGCACGACCCCCCCACCCCCCACCTTCCAGACTACAGGTAAGAATAGAGGGGGGGGGGATATAATGTATTTATTTTTATTATTTATTATTAGTATTTCTTAGTATGTATTTATTTTTATTATTTATTATTAGTATTTATTATTAGTATGTATTTATTATTCATTATTGGTATTTATTATTAGTATTTATTATTAGTATTTATTAGTATGTATTTATTTTTATTATTTATTATTAGTATTTATTAGTATGTATTTATTATTTGTATTTATTAGTATGTATTTATTAGTATGTATTTATTAGTATGTATTTATTATTTATTATTAGTATTTATTTTTATTATTTATTATTAGTATTTATTAGTATGTATTTATTATTTATTATTAGTATTTATTATTAGTATTTATTAGTATGTATTTATTAGTATGTATTTATTTTTATTATTTATTATTAGTATTTATTATTAGTATTTATTAGTATGTATTTATTATTCATTATTGGTATTTATTATTAGTATTTATTATTAGTATTTATTAGTATGTATTTATTTTTATTATTTATTATTAGTATTTATTAGTATGTATTTATTTATTATTAGTATTTATTATTAGTATTTATTAGTATGTATTTATTAGTATGTATTTATTATTTATTATTAGTATTTATTATTAGTATTTATTAGTATGTATTTATTTTTATTATTAGTATTTATTATTAGTATTTATTAGTATGTATTTATTATTTATTATTAGTATTTATTATTAGTATTTATTAGTTTGTATTTATTTTTATTATTTATTATTAGTATTTATTATGTATTTATTTTTATTATTTATTAGTATTTATTATTATGTATTTATTTTTATTTTTTAGTAAAACATTAATAGTGCCATTTACCTGCCTCCCCCAATACAAAATCCTGGCAAACACACACATCACCCTCACCCAGCACCCTAACACATACACAGCACCCTAACATTGACACAGCACCCTAACACCAGCACCCTAACACACACACAGCACCCTAACATTGACACAGCACCCTAACACACACACAGCACCCTAACATTGACACAACACACACACAGCACCCTAACATTGACACAGAACCCTAACACACACACAGCACCCTAACACCAGCACCCTAACATTGACACAGAACCCTAACACACACACAGCACCCTAACACCAGCACCCCAACACACACATAGCACCCTAATACCAGCACCCTAACATTGATACATCACCCTAACACACACACAGCACCCTAACACTCACACAGCACCCTAAAACACACACAGCACCCTAACACCAGCACCCTAACATTGACACAGCACCCTAACACACACACACACACAGCACCCTAACACCAGCACCCTAACATTGACACAGCATCCTAACATTGACACAGCACCCTAACACATACAGAAACCTAGCACACACACACACACACACATCACCCCAACACATACACAGCAACCCAACACACACACAGCACCCCAACACACACAGCACCCCAACACACACAGCACCCCAACACACACATCACCCTCAAATACACAGCACCCTCAAATACACAGAACCCTCGCACAGTGCCCTCACACACAGCGCCCTCACACACAGCACCCTCCCACACACACTATACTCCTCACAAATGCACACTACACCCCTCACACACACAGCACCCCCAAACACACTGCACCACTCACACACTCACTAGATCTCCTATACGCACTCCTGAGTCCTTCAAACACACACTAGATCCCCTACACACAGACGCTGCACCACTTACACACACACTACATTTCTGACATACACACTCAAGATCCCCTATGAACACACTAGAAATCCTTTAAGCAAACACATAGTGTCTCCATAAATGGGATACAGTGAGTATTCCAATTATGGAAACCCCTGAGACAAGTTTCAAGCAAACACAATGCAAGCATGTTATTAAATTTGCTTGCGCTGTGCAGATCAAATACAGGGCCCTTTTCTCATGCCCTGGAAGAGCATTGAACCAACATGCTCACTTTGAGATGGGGCGTGCTTGTCATTGGGGATGACAAAACACACCCTATCTGGCCCCGCCCCCTTTTCAGTGGGCCGCTGTAATTAAAAATACCCGGGCCGAATTTTTTCCCCAGTCCGGCCCTGCTGACAGTGCTAGGGTACAGTCCATGGAAAGCGTGTAGTTAGCGCACCATTAGACACATTTATGCCAAGCTCAAGGTGCTGTTTACACATTACGCCCTTAGTTAGCCAGCGTGCATGATTGACAGGCAGCCTGACAATTCACGCCAGACTGGCCTTCCCTGTGTGCAGTTCTGGTTATATGATTTGCATCAGTGGCCCACCTTTTTATGCAGTCTATTGACATTCTACTTCATCGGACACTGCTGTTATGGGTTATGGATTTACTTGAGAGATGAAAGCAAGAGATTAGCATAGGGTATGTGTTTTCTGATAGCTATATCCTGTGAGCACCACCTCCACCAGACAAAGGACGCTAGGGAGGTAGGACTGGTTTTAGTGCTCTCTGTCAATAAGATTCTGTAATAAAGCTCATCATAATTGTCCACACCAGGCCCAATGGGCTCTTTATCTGGCCCTGGCTCCCTGACTTCACTACAGTCGACAGAGAAATTGAAGCTCTCTGTCTTAGCTAGGCTTTGCAGAGCAAGGTTTGGCTCATTGGCTGAACTTGATCATTGGCTGAACTTGATTGTAGTTAAGGCAGGGCATGGCGTCTGAAGCTCCCCAGGTAAGAATAAAAAAAAAAAGAAGAAGGGGGCAATTGTTATAGGCACAAGAGACATTGGCAAAGTTACTATAGTTGTATTAGTGTCTTGGAATTCCACCTGTAGGAGGAGGGCACAGGCGGTACCCTGCCTTCAAAAGATCTAGCCCTAAGTCACATCACTACAGCGAGGGAGCAGGTGGTCTCCACCTCCAGTGAGTACAGTGTTCTATTGTTGCTCCCTTTGTTATGGGAAGGTGTTCATTGAATTGGGAGGTATCAGTTAACACACATTCATTGAATTGGGAGGTATCAGTTAACACACATTTAAGTTGTAATCAGGCAATTCGTCACCAACACAAAAAATAAATAATAAACAAACAAAAAAATAGTGTATAAATCTCCAAAAGAAAAAAGGGGTAGAAACCACTGAACGGTGACCCATACAACACCATATAGTACTGGTTTTTAGTTCATGTTCTTTTCTTTTGGGGACTAATTAGCTGGCAATCTGCAACAATTTCTTGATTACACCTAAAATACATGTTTCTGATACCTCCTATCCCTATGATTTAGTGTGGGTTTACCGCATGAAACCTGTAAGGAGGCCTCTTGTTAAAGGATTACAGTCTCTTTATTTAGACTTATAATGCCGTATTGGTCATTCCTACCTAGGTCCACCCATGAAATGTGTAAAGGAAGGTTTTAAACTTTTAAACTTTCCTGGAATCCAGTTATCTCCACGCCATGATCGACGGCATCAAGAGTCTAGCGTTGGCAATGGGCGGGAGGGAGTGGGCAGCAAGAGAGGGAGGGAAGTATGCAGATTTTTAAAAGAACTGAGGGTACAGGGAGGAAGAAAAGACACAAGATTCATCTTGCTAGCTCAGCCTGCAAGGGAGAAAATTATGTCTGCTGCCATCTTGCTGTGCGTGCTGACGATAAATGTAAAATAGGCAGACATTAGGCAGCCTGGAAGTCAAATGTGCTGGCGCTGTAACTACCCCCCGGCACAAATATAATATATCCCTGAATGTTCTGTTTGACACACGACACATACAGACTCCTACCACCATGACCTCTTCAAATCCCTGCAGTGGTCATGGTGATTTGCCTAACCGTTTTAGCCAGGTTATCATAGTTCTCTGACATAAGCACTTTATGGGACGTTTTGTGAAGAATTAAAAAAGTGGAATTTTTATTTTATCCTCAATCGTTTTGTTCTTTATGCTGGAATTCTGTGAGGAGCCTATTATTTAGGCATATTTCAAAAGAAGTTGGCACTTTTAGAAATTAACCCCCATGGCTGTTAATCAGATGACAGGTCCTGCTACTTCCTGGTTTATTTAGCTCAGTGGAGATAAACTCAAGAGACAGCAATTGCCCAGGGCACCTGCCTTGCAAAGACTTCTGCATTGGGAAGTCTGTGATTGGACAGCCACAAAGTCTGATCAGGGTTAGAAGGGGAGGGTTTGCAAAGGCTGGAGACAAGAGATCAGCAGTTTTTGCAAGTGATATATATATATA